AAATATCTATGCCTATATGTTGATAGTTTTAATGCTTTGTTGAATCAAAATTAAATACCCAGTCCAGTACCTTTATCTCTGTCGATTTGCTCATACTATTTTGCAATTGTAATGTCATGATTTATCTTAGAGCCGCTTTTAATGGTGACTGTAGAAGAGCAGCCCGTGTTTAAAAATGTTTGTGCAATACATGAAGTCATTTCTTCATTGAGAAGTGGCAGTTTACTCCGAAATAGATGAATGAATATGTGAAATGAATACAAGAAAGACGAATGGTTGCTGTCAGAATAACAGAAGAAATGGAGAAGGACGTTCAGGCCAACATAAGGACTAGCATGTGGTGTAGCCGCACACACACACACACGCAAACACAACAGGGACTGTGGGGTATGATTCATTAACAACAGAAGAATTTAATTGGATTACAGACTGGTTTTCACAGACCTTGGGTCTGTCTGCTGTGTGTGTGTGTGTGTGTGTCTCAACTCATCTATGATCTCATACTCGCACAAAAGGGCTGAACCAGTAGAGAATTTATGACCAATGCCGGGAATAATTATTAATTCATTATTAGTGCGGGCATCACTGATACTATTGCTCATATTAAGGGTTGGTGATTTGAACAGCCCCTAAACGTCTGTGCTGTGGACAGAAGATTGTGTGACTTGTTGAGAGGAGGTATGCTGTTACTCCTAAAAATGATCAGGAATTCAGGTTTATGTCTTGGTTGCAACCTGCATTTTGTGTTGATCATTTAGGGTTTATTTTGTCATTTCACAGTTTTCCGGACCTATACTTGGGAGATGAAGTTCGAAACTTGGGAAAGTTTCAACAAACAAAAAATGACACACTTCTCCTGTTAAAAAATGCTTAGGCTGTATTGGCCGATATTAATATGATTGTGGATACATTGCACATCTCTATTTTTACAAGTCTTGCTAATACTTTTAAATTGACGCGAGACCAGCAGATCCAGAGCAAAATGCGAAAAGCAGCTTGCAATGACAGAGAGGAAACAGGACAGATGCAGAGAACGAAAGAAAAGAGACAGAAGGAGAGAGAGCTAGAAGATGGAAAATTAAGACGGTTGTCATTCTGATTGTTATCCTCTCTTCCTCGCAACAGAACAGCTTGAGACGAGCATCCTGGCCCTGTCAGGTCTAATTAAGCCAGCATCTGCATCTCCAAATGCACGCACCTGCTTGACGGGCAGCCGTGACGGACAAGTTTAAAAGATTGAGTGACAGCGACTAGGTGGCTCTTCACAGAACCCACAAATAATCCCAAATCCTTAAACAAGGTGCTTGGCATGTCAAAACATATCAACATGAGCCCACGGAGACAGATTAAGAGTGAAGGAAAGCGAGAAAGGCAGGGATGGACAGGGAACAACAGGCCTCGACTCATCTTTGCTCTAGCAAGCAGGTCACACCTTCACCGGGAGGTTGAGCCGAGTGTTACAGGAAGGCCAACTCGTATCACAGGGCCATAGCCTTTGTTTGAGAGCAGGAAATGGTGGTCGGGAATCTGAATGAAGCCACTAAAACAAAAAGGAAAGAACGGTGGAAGGGAGCCATCGAGAGACCACAGGGGAGAAATGAGCAAGGACAGAATAATAACCGTGTCCCTGATTCTTTATTGGGACTTAAAAGTGTTTTGCACTTTGGTGGAGGGTTATGGCAGTTTAGGAGTAAGCAGTAAATGTGATTCATACAAACCTTTTAATACAGTTTTGACTTCCCTAACATTTTCTACTTTTTTCTTTTTATACAGTCAGACATTTCACTGTCAGTCTGTGTATTAGTGGTGGGATTTTACCATGAATCTTTCTGCAGTTTATATTGTTACATCTGTAGGTGTCGACAAGCAACACATTACTCATTAATTTAACCGATTGTTCAGATACACTGAATCATTCAGGAATGAAACAAGTCTTTAAGAGCGAGTCACTGAATCACTCAACCTATTTGCTCAAAAACACTGAGCCATTCAGAAATGAAGCAAGTGATGTTTTTATGAGTGAGTCATTGAATCACTCACATGATTCTTTCAAAAACACTGACTCACTCAAGAACTGGTTCGATTAATCACTATTCATTCTAAAATACGGATTCATTTTGGAACGAATTCATTGAATCAGATTTACTCAAAAACTCAGAATCATTTAGGAATGAAGCAACCACCAAAAACACACTAGCAACCACTTATTAATGCCCTAGCAATCACCCAGAATATCCAAACAACCATCCAGAACATCCTAAAAACCACCTATCAACACCCTAGAAACCACCTATGAACAATCCATCAACCACCCATTAATTCCCTTGCAACCATGTAACACACCCTAACAACCACTCAGAACATTCTAGCAACACTCTAACAACCACCTATCAACACTCTAGAAGCACCCTAGCAACCACTTATTAATGCCCTAGCAATCACCCAGAATATCCAAACAACCATCCAGAACATCTTAAAACCACCTATGAACAACCCATCAACCACCCATTAATGCCCTAGCAACCATGTAACACACCCTAACAACCACTCTGAACATTCTAGCAACACTCTAACAACCACCTA